TCTAACATTCTGTGATTCTGTGAATGGAAAGATAAGCCCTTCAAACACATTAGGATTAACTGGGTTGGATGCTGATAAACTAACATGGAAAATTTCCAGAGGAAAAGGACCTCCAGGGAGACCCCTCCAAGGGCTTCCCTCCAGCACTGAGATGTCTTGCTGTGAGCAAAAGTACCACAGCTGATCTCAGTTGTTATGACAGTTGAGCAATAAGGGATGCCTGTCTGTCCGTTATGTAGGACGCAGAGCTGGAGGAAGGAAGTTTCAGTTGAGCTTTTGGAACATGATTATGAAATATTTTGTTACTGAAATAACTGAGCAAATCCTGAGATTTGTTGTAGAAGCTGTGTAGCAGTGAGGGAGCGAGAAGGTGATGCCATCAGGCAGAATGCATTCGAGTAGTAAAACTGTTGGCTTTAAAGGTGAGCACGACTCAGGTTTAAATTGTAGATGGCTGCAGTCATCCAGCCTAAACCCGCCCTGTCTGGCAAACTGGGAGTAGTCAGAGATACAGAAGTATTCTAATATGCAAACAATGAATGACACAATGACCAAAGTAAATGTTGTTGGGGATTTTTTTTATCCCATGTACTGGAGGAATATTCCGTCTGGTTAGACTATTTTGACATAAATTGCTGTCCTCCTTTGGTAAAAGACTGGGACCATCCCTAATAATGCTTTAGAAAAATCCCTTATAGAGGCTGTAGGAAATGAAAGTGTGTTTCAATACGTCGTTGTGCAATAGAATATGTGGGGGGAAGGCCCATCCATCCGTGCCACTTAAAATTTTACAATTCTAAATCTCAAGGTTTGATTGTTGTGATCACTAGCTAGTACTCAGGCCTTCTCTGAGCTTTCTAAAGGACTGAACTCATAAATAGACTAATTTCTAACAGCAGGCAGTAGAGGCAGCTGCTTTGCACTTCCAGTAATTCAAATACAGCGTTAGCTATTTAATGTTGTTTTATGAGAAGATGGATCATTAGTTAGGGCTCCTCGTGTAATTCCTTTGTTGTCTAGACCGTGACCAGCCTCTTGATTTGGCTTCTAATCTGAAAGATGGCTTTTTTTCTCTTGCAAAAATACCTGCTGTAGCATTAGTCAGTCTTTGATACCACTCAGATAAAGAACTTGCCCTTAGAAGTAGGAGCATACAGCGTGCATGCTGAAGACATAGGCTAAAACTGGTGAATTAAAAGCTATATTGGCTTTATAGGTATATCGTAAATGCTATTTTAACATTAAGCAAGTTATACAATTTTTTTTCTCCATATATCTCATCTCCTTTGTTCAGCTTGTGTGATGTAACAAAAATAAATGTTTATTAGTCTGAATAAACAGCAAGAATTCTGTTCAGCTAAAAGGATTAGTGGAGATGAAATTACAAGCTCTTTAACTTGCTGTTAGAGAAACAATAGAGCATAGCTTGACTCCCTAACTCAACTTGGTCTGCTGTTGCTGGATAAAACAAACAAAAAATGTTGAATTTGTAAACAGTACATTTAGTACTGAAAATTACAGAAATCAGCAATGCCATGTTTATCATCACTTTCTAGACCATAACCACAGTTTGATATTTTTCCACTGAGGAAACTTGAGGTAGAAAATTCAAAATACAAACTGCAATCAAAGACACCAGAGTTGCTATGAATGCTTTCAATTTGAAGCTTAATAATGATCCAGGAGTACAAGATTCAGTACATTTCCAGATTTTACAATCCCCAGAAAGCTCCAGTGTCAAGGGAACACAGTATTTTTAAGGTAATGAAATCTGAAAATAACGACATGGGTGTAGGGGAGAGCTTTGTAATAGAGAAGGAGAAAATTACAGAACACAATTCCTATTGTTTATTAATACTATTAATATATTTTATTATTATTATTGAGTAATTATTTGTTTATTGATGAGGCAAAGTGCTGTAAAACAGAAGGTGTTGAATTCAAATTACATTAGACCATTTTGTTGTCTACAGATGATGTATCTATCCTCTCACCTTTCTGTAGAGAAAACCTATCCTTTAATCTCTTGTACAGGTTGGGAAAGATTCTTTTGGGAATGATTATGTTGAAAATTTGAAGAAGAATGGTATTTCTACAGGTAAAATTTTACTTTAAAGAAGCCTTTTGTATTTTTAAGCTTTAAAAATTGGTAGTGGAAGATTTCTTATTTTATTGCCTTATTGGATATATTTTACCATTAAGAACTACAAATAATTTTTTTGACACAACTTTTTTTAATGCATGAATATGGGTGAGATAATGGGGACTTAAGAAATCAGCTGTACCACTGAAAATAAAATGTAATGTTATTACCTCTAAATCTCAGACGATTACATCAGTGCAAGTCACCTGAAGATAACTTGCTGTTACACAATTGTTTACGCTTGCATTAATGATGGTAAGGCCTAGTCAGAAATTGAAAAATCTGGACTGATTATTCGTTCTTATTTTCATGTTCGGAGACAGAGGGATAGAGTGGAAGTCCATTTGTCAACTCAGTACATTTCACGTCTGTTTTGTGAAATGACGTGCAGTCATTTTAGACTGTGGCTGATGTTTGTTAACACACATACACACAAAAATCAATGTTTAAAGGATTTTGGGAAAAAGGGAAAATTAAGCATGCACAATATTCTATTATCTTTGCACCTTTGTAACCCTAATTCTCTCTCTTGTTTGAATGTATTATGGGGTGCTGCTTTACTACATGATCATGTTTTTGTCTATATGACTCTTTCTCCTTCAGGGTGGACATGGATGGACAGATGCAATCACTAAGTGGCAATTCAATATTCAGTTTGTCTTTTCTGTTTAATGTGCAGCCACGAGCTTCCTTTACTGCATTATTCAAATTCTGCTTTAAAGACAGAACAATCAGTATTTTGTGGGCTTTTTTATTATGCTTATCAGTATAGCATCTAAATATTTCACAAATATATATACAGGTTTATTCATTGCATCTCTTCCAATGTATGCAAGAAACCAGGCAAGGATACCATAAAAACAGTGTGTTAGTGTACAGTTCCAAATCTTTCTAAAGCATGCCTACCAAATGAATAAAGTCTTTGATAATGTAAATAAAGATATTATAATGCATAGCACTTAATGAAAGTGTATATTCCACAAGCAACCTTAAATCCTTAAAATGTAGGAAAAAAATTCTGAAATGCCATCGTATTGCACTTCACTGATCAATTGAAGAGTTGGAATATTTAGGTCCAAGGTACTAATTTCTGCTCATTGAGTTAATATGGTGTTAGATTGTCACCCCCTGTGTTGATCAGCGCTGGAGGAAGACAAGATGTACTGCTAAAGAGGCTGGTCTGGGATCCCAACTTGCATTCCAAGATTTGGAGGCAGGGGTGATTCAGTGTGCACAGACCTTTTTGCTTAGGACTGTCTTTAAGTCCTTGGCTTTTCATCTCAGTTTAATCCTTGCCTAGCCTATCCCTGTTGTTATACATAAGGATACAGAGTACTGGATGAAAATCCTTGCCATAATGCCAGTTCTGCCAACTTTCATATCCTGGATCCTTGTCATATGCCTTCTTTGTTTACATTGCTTTTCTATTTCCTGACATATCACTTACCCCTTTTATTTCCAGTTCCAATCTGTTTCATAATTTTTTCACTTCCCTAGCCTTCCTGTCTTCCACAACCTGTCAACTACCAGTGCTGCTCAGACCATTTAGACCTTTACTGATGTATTTACTCCCTCGCCCAGATTTGAACTGGGTAGCTCCAGGGCAAGTATGAGCGTGATGTTATGTGGTTTTTTCAGCTTTGTTCAAATCTGAGCAGATTTTTAAATTGGCCACAAAAGATGCAACTTGAGAAAGAAGCCAGCCTGTGCCCAGCGTGAAGTCCATGTTCTAAAATGTTAGAACACAAAGAGCTTCTTAAACAAAGGGTCACCAGAATTTGTCTCAAATAAAATAGTAGATTTTTCTCAAATACAGTTGGGAAAGAAAACCCTCAACCTTTTTGACAGTTTTCTGCTACAGTTGTACCTAAAAAAACCCCACCTGTCACAGAAAGCTTCAGACCACAGGTTAATATTTGACAAATTTGCTGACGGCTGAAAACAGGTTCTTATAGTAGTAAATATGGAACAATCATTATAATAGACAGTGCTGCCAGCTTCACTCTAGTTAATTTATCTGAATAATAATCCAAAGAGGAAACATATAGCCTCACCACTGCCTTCATAGCACATGTTAATACTACTGCTGAAATGCAAATCTACAGAGAATTAAATGCTGTGTTGTTTTAGTAGTTTAGTTTTCTACAGCCTTGACTCTGTTGTTTCATTGGATAAAAGAAATACTGCCATGTAGGAGTAGAGTGCCTGAGAAGGCTGTATAAATAACATGCTTTCTCTAAAGCAGAGATGTAGCCAAATTAAAGAATGTTGGACTGGCATTTCTGTTTTGTGGGTGTAAATTAACACTTTTTGTTGTTGTTAGCTTCTCTGGCATTGTTGCACATGAAAGAGTAATTAGCATTTTTAAATTGCTAGAGGTTATGGGTTCATTTTAGATTTAATTCAATTAAACTGCATCACATGCTATTGGTTGAAAGTAATGTATTGAACTAATGCATGCTGTAACTTTTCCCTTTCTTAGGATTTGTAGGTCAGACTACAGATGCTGCTACTGGAACTGCTTCAATAATTGTCAACAGTGAAGGTACATGTTTCTACTATGAATTGTCCTCTTTGTTTTGCCTCTACAACCATAAAAGAAGCCCCTCCCTTGTCACTGTTAATTGTGGAATTTTTTTCTACATCTTTAATTCTTTTCATCATCTCATTCACACTTCATTGCACTTCCTCTTATTATGGGCCATGTTGCAGGATGAGGTGCCTAAAAGCAACAGAGTCAGATGCTTAGATTATCATTGTGATAGCCATAATTCATATGGCTATCGAGTTTTACAATGGCCAGATCACACAACGTAGCAGGTTAAAGCTCTCCTTTTCCACCACAGCTTATCCAGCACTGAGGAAAGGGTTTGCCTCCTCAGCACACTGAGTGAGCCATTATGCCCTGAATATGGCAAAGGAATTGTCCTTAGGATAAGTAGAAATATTTATGTTGATAAATGCACAGTGAAATGGCATATTTGTTTTTTCTGTGTTAATTTTCCTTAGCCTGTGCCTTTGCTCTCATATTGCAGGGGAAGAAGAAAAGATTTGGCTTGTTTTCATATTCTTCTTCAAGATTGCTAAATTATCCTCTGAAAACTTTCTGTTTATCTTTTTCTCAAGCAAGTTGTGCTGTTGAGAGCTCTTAGGCTAAGTATGTGTGTCTGGATCAAAATTTAGAGCTCAGGACCAATAATGTTTGTGCAAGCATAACAAATTGAGTGTGATTGGATTTGTTCACTTTTGGTGCAGATAAGAGTCTTTATCTGAACAGTTACCACAGCTTAGCTGGCACGTCAGCTTAAAAAGCTCCAGTGAAACCTGGTGGTAGTACATTGGGCTACAGCTCAAAATAGGAAAGGAAGCATGACTATTCTCTCCAGGAGCAAACCTGGGAAGGAACTGTGACTAAAGGCAAGTCTGCACAGGAACATTCAGGAAAATTAGGCAAATTAGTTGGAGATGTGAGTTTAATTAAAGATTAATCAAAACCTTGCATGACAGCTCTAATTCAGAAATAAGGTAGCTCTAATACAGTGAATAAACTGGATACCTGCCTCTTACTTCCACCTCTTTCTCTTTGTTTGGGTCAGCAGGTAAATTACCACAACAGCTCTTAAGAACTTCTTTCTTGTGCCACATATGGTCACTACTCTGGTCATTGTAAATGGGAAAGACAGTGAGAATCCAATAATGCACTCCCAGACCTCACTGTTTTGTAAATGTAACCATGTTTTGCACTAGGTTTGCTGTGCAGAATAGCTGAATAAGAAACAAGTCTTATTACTTCCCAGTTCATGTGCATGGCCAACTAAAATAAACATGGTCTAAACTTGAATGAACAGAGGATGACCTGTTAAAATTATAACACCATTAATTCTTCCGAAGGATAAGGAACAAAACCATCTTGAGGATCTAAAACCTTTATAAGCACCAGGAAAGCTAAATTAATTGTTCAGTGCCATGAGGTTCACAGTGTTAGTGTCAGTGTGAAGGGTCTCTGATAGGCTTGTGATTCATGTAGTGAGATGAGTAATGCATAATGTCATGCAGTTTGTTTCTTACAGAAAGTAAAAAATCCTAAATTAAGTTACTGCTGGCCTCAAATTTCATTTAAAATCTAGTAGAAGTGCAAACCTGGTCAGAACTGTGCTATAAAGCAAACAGATGCACAGAATTGGTAATGGTTCTGGTTGTTACTTCTTTCTAAAACCATCTGGTGCCTGAATTGAGTAAAATGCAATAAAATAGCAGTACTAATGTGCTTTGCTGTTGCAAGAGACACTTTTTTTTTTTTTCTTTTTTTTCCCCTGTAGAAACCTGGCTGATTTGACCTAAACAGGTTTTACAGCACTTTTCAAAGGGCTTGTCTACACATGCATGTTTTACTGCAATAGTTGTGCTGGCATAGCTGAAACATCACAGCATTCAATGCACTGATGTAAAGTAGTTTCTGCTAGTTCAAATTATACCTAAAAGGGAGGCATTTGAGGTTGGGGGTGGTGTGTTGTTTTTTTGTGTTAAGACAACAAGGGACAAATAAGAAACACAGGTCATCTCTTTAAATCAACAAGTTTTGATGGCTGTATTTTCACACACCTAACCTGCACTTCATCTTAACAATTCTTTAGAAGTACCAATACTTGTGAAAAATGCCAACTCCAATCAACTGCGTAAACTTACAGGCAGAAGTAGGAGAGATACTCAAGTAAAGGGAGCAGACTATGATGGGTGAGTGAAGGCGGAGGAAAAGAAAGCTGTAGAGAGGAGAGTCAGAGGAGGCTCTGAGGTAAACTTGCGCTGATGTTACCTGCATCTGTCTAGTTGGTGCTGTTGAATTTCTGGGAAGATTTTTACTGGTTACAGAATTGCACAGCTATAACTCATCCATTATTGTAATTAGGAAAGTACTAAAAATTTGAAAAGTATCAACCACATTTCATTTTCTCAAAGTTGCATTATATTCTGGGACAATACAGTGTAGTTTCAATAAAAGACAGAGAGGTTAATTCTCTGCTTTGATGCAAGATGGTGGAGAGATGTTTAACATGTTTATAGTGCTGCACTGGAAAATGTGCAGTTCAGAGATCCTGCAATGGTTCCCCTGGGCTGGTCTCAGAAATCTGTGCAGAAATATTTTTCTGGAACCTTGTGTTCCTTTCAGTTGTTCTCTTTTGTGCGACGGCCTCTTCAGATAGGTTTTGACTGACAAGCTTCAGTTTGCCAGGACCCTGTACACTCCAAATCTGTACTTTTTCTCTAAAGGAGAAAAGCTGGTACATCCAGCTGCTTTTCTTAACACATTTTCTTTGAGGTGCATTGCACCACTTTGAACCCCAGCTTTTATTTCCCCTTTCAGCCTGCCTTCTTTCCACTAGCTCTGTCACTTAGCACACCTTCTGCTAACAGTGCGCTGTTGAATGGTAAGAACTCCATAAAGTGATGTGCATTGTACTTTTACATACACAGGGAGGAAAAAAGCCTCTTTATGGATAATTTTTAACATGATTACCTGTGAAGTTTATTGCAGCTTTGTCCATATCTGGTACTGACTGTTGACGACACCATTAAGCTGGCCTGACTGGACCAGTGGTTTGAACCAGTCTGACAACTTCCGTGTTCATAGCAAAAATTCAGTGGAGGGACAACAGAGGTTGACAGGTCATGATTAAAGTGCTCTTGATTATTGCAAGTTAGGACTTAAAGCTCACCTAACACAGAACACTCGGAGATAACCCTCGCTTGAGATAGGCATTGTGCTGACTTTATGATAAAGTTATTAATCATTCATGAACAGTGAATAGGCATTATTTTGTAACTGAGTTTACCTTCAATACCAAAGCACTACCAGTATAAAAACATTCAAAATACATATTTAGATAAGGCTAAATAAACAAGGCAAACTTAGAATACACATGCCAGCTTGTTTGAATTATACTTTCCAAAGAGAAAATCTTTGTTTTGAATCTTCAGGGTTATGAAGAAATGTCACCTGAATTTCTATAGAATTTTTATGTATTGACATTCATCATGAACTTGAACGTTTTGTGAACTAGTCAATGCTCCTACCAAGTAATTGCATAGAAATTATGATACCACAACACACCCAAAATTTGCCTTTGTATTCATGAACTGTGTGATTTGGCAGCAAATGTTTTTTCTTGTAACATTATTTTTTTGGTCACAAATATAATCTTTTTTCTCTAAGAATTATTGTGCAGGAGCTCTGCAACTATTGTTACAATTGCATTGTTTGAAATTTTGGTGAATTCTAAGTACTACTGATGGCTTTCAGGCCTATCATCCCATTTTTAAAAGTGAGGTTATTGCACTGTGGCATTTACTGGTTTGCCTTTGATTTTTCTACTGGCACTTCTTATCTGATGGCATCTATAAAATGACACTTGTAAAAAAAAAATCTAGCTTGAGTTACCGTCTTTCTAAGAAGTGACAGTAGCAGGTTTAGAAGCCCAACTGAGGACAGTATTTGCATATGCAATGTTCAGGCTGTTTTAAGTATTGTTTGGACCCAATCCCCATCTGGTGTAAGCTTGCACGAGTTTATCAGCTTCATTTAGCTGTTCTAGCTTATAGCAACTGTGAATGTGGCCCTTAATATTTTAGCTGATGTCTGCAAAACTGAAAATAATATAGATGCTCCCATCAAAACTGAGAATTTTTAGTCTAAGTAGTGATATTTTAGAATTAGCTGTAATGCAGTAAGTAGATTTTTCTCATTCTTAGTGTGGGCAACACTTTACCTCACTTGAGCTGTTTCAAAGTTAGGTGTACAGCTTAAGGCTTCACCTATAGTTAACAGAGATGCAGAGACATTTCCAGACAACAGTTTATCTCCCCCTCAGATATCTAAGATACAAGATTTAAAAAACCCTGAAAATACTTGTCTCTCCTCCTTGTTGAAGAAACCTAGAAGGAATTTCCTAGAATGTAGAATTTTTTTTGAAACTTCAAAAATTAGTTAATGTTGGACAAGATGAATCCCACCCCTCTTTGCCATCTGTCTTTAACTCTGTTATCCCTGGTGCTGATTTCCCATCTGATTTCCCTGGCAAGAAATAATTGCTTTCAACAAAATGGTTGCTGGTAATACAAAATTCTGGTATTAACTGTGAGTGCATGGGTCCAGATTCTGCTTTCATGCATACTGGTATAAGTTTGTGGTGACTGCTGCCATTCACAGTTAGTGTGGTTGAGAACAGAATGTGGCTTTTTCTCTAAAGCTTGGGTTAAGCCCACCAGGACTGTTACACCGCAGTAAGTACTGCATTTCCCTGGCAGGTTTGAAAGCAGACTTTAAGTCTCTGACCTTTTGTAGTTAAAAAGAAAAGCTTCTGACTGTGATCCAGTGCAGCATGGTCTACCTTGAATTTGCACATATGGGTTTAAGCAAACAGCCTCCTTATCGCCTTGGGCCATTAGCTCTAAAGTCTAATAATAATATACATGTCAGTACAGCTAAATAGTTCAGCAAGATAATGCAGCAAGACATGTGGATAGAGTCTGAGATTCTAGGTAGCACAGAGTCCAGGCAGAAATGAAATACATTTTTGTTCCACTGATTCCCTGCCTTTTACTCTTTGCACTGCTGCACCCTGTAAGCTTTCAAAATATATCCTTGGCAGAATAGGTGCAATTTACCTTTGAATGTTTCTTCTACAGGATTCAGATATCTCTGATAGCACTTACTTATTGCAGAAGGTTTTTTCCTTTTTTTTTTTCGGAGATGCCCATCATTGTTGAAAAGCAGGGCGTTGGCTTTAAATGCTGAGGTTTTGCTTTTCATATGCAGCTGTTCTGTACCAAACCATTGACAGCAGAATTGCTTTGGAAAGCTTGGGCCCCTCCCTCTGAGATCACTATATTATTCTTTCCATTGTCCTGCTTTCTTTTCAGAACGTATTTAGGGAGACAAGCTTTGCACATTTCTTATTCAAAGGACTTTGAAGTCACGTTCAAGAAAAATAATGTATTTAAAAACATAAATATTTATTTACGGACTAATTCAGTTCATTACAGAATTGGTAGCCTTTAATGATTGGCGGTCCTTAAAAGAATCTTCAACAGGAGCAGGCTGAGCCTGTAAATCAAGGAACAACTGACTTATTGAATTTAATACTTGAGTGATTAATAATAAATTTTAATTTGAAGGCAGCCATGCCTGAAGGTCTCTAGGTGTTGTAACAGAAATTAAAAAAAAAAGAATGAAAGAAAAAAACTGCAATAAAAGAAGGCAACTTGCATGTCTAAAGAAAAACAAAAGAATATTTGGAATCTACTAAATGAACCTCCTAACCTAACTGTAAAACAAATTACAAGAATGAAAAAGATCTTAGATATGCTTGGAGATACCACTGTGCTTTCACATGTATAGCTTCGCTTAGACCATTCTACTGGACAGCTTTAAGCACAGAAGAATCTGTCACCCACCTTCTTTACTCAGTTCTGATAAAGCTTCCTTAGATACAGGTATTACCTTTCTGCGTTTTGATGGCAAGGTGATTCTAGTTTTCATGATGGTTAGGGGCCCTAACTTGAAGTGTTACAGGTAAACGGAGCAAGCCTGTTTCTCTAACATTTAAGGAACATGCATAATTTTCATAGCTGTGTGAAGTATTCTCTGTTTCCAGCTGATGGGAAAATTAATTTTTTATGGCATTTTTGGCATATGGACTCAGTAATCACACGGATGCTTTTCTCTTCAAGTGCTACTGAAATATTTTAAGAAAATGCAAATATCAGCCTTACTATATGTCCCCCATCTCCCTTGTGGCTAGTACAGTGCTTCTTTAGAGTTCAGATAAAACACCGAAATAGGCATGGGGAAAGCCCATACATTATTTTTCCCAAAGAAATATCTACTGCATTTGTTGCGCAGTGTAGCATTCATTAGTCCATCGATCTTCTGAAATCCTTGGATATTTGAAAATGCCAGAGATGCGTACATTTTTAGTGGGTTTCTTTTTTTAAAGGAAATTTAAATCCTCATCTGAAATGTATTGTAGAAAAGCAAGGAACTGTTTTACATACTTTATTGCAAAGATGAATGTAAAAAACACAATATCTTCTCTTTAGGACAGAATGTTATTGTCATAGTCCCAGGAGCCAACCTGCTTTTAAACTTTGAAGACCTGAAGAGGGCTTCTGATGTCATCTGTAAAGCCAAAGTGCTTGTTTGCCAGCTAGAAATAACCCCTGCTGTTTCTCTTGAAGCTCTGAAAATGGCACGTGCCAGTGGAGGTAAATTAACGTAAGCCATTCTGTCTCTCTCATTTGTGTTGCATGAAAAATATTCTTTATCTTGCTTTCTAAATAAAGATCCTGTGGACTGTTCTGGTTTCTGTCATACTTGTTTTATTTAGAAATTAAACAATAGCCAACAAATTCATGCTACGTTAATGAAAACTGAATTAAGTTTTAAAATTTTGCAGTATTTACCTTGAATGGCAAATCAACCCATACCCTTATAATCTCCTTGTATATGTCTGGTGCTGCCTTTCCTCCTGTCCTCCTGTGACTAAATACAGTACAATGTTGTTAGGTCAGGAGCTATGGGCCTGACACTGGTATTATTCCGGAGCAGAACAAGCATAATGAATGCAAGTCAGTAAAGTTCCACACACAATAAAGTGAATGAAATGACCTCAAAACCAGACTTATGCCCTTGTTCTCCCAGCATAGCAGTAGGTATGGCTGTGGTTTTCTATATAGAAATTAACATCCTTAAAATGAAAAAAAAATGCTTTTTCTTCTTAACCAAAATTCTTAGAGTGTGACATGGCATGCTGCCATTGAATAGACAGTTATGGTCTCTGAAATTATTAGTAAGTTGTTACTGTGCTGTACTCTTAAATGTAGGCCATTGTTCCTTCAGTGTTGCATATATATAGATAAAAGTTGACGTTTTGCTTGGACAAGATGGGGTTTCACTGCTGACATGATGTCTTTGTTGTTTAAGTGCCTGTAATGCTTTCAGTTACTCAAGCACAATAACCACTCTATTTGAACACTAAATAATTATGCAAGTGTGGCATTATATGAGATTTAAAATATGTTCTTGTCTATCCAGAAGATAAGACTGGGAGGGGACAGCTCATAGTATGGTCAATCACACAGCTGGTCAGGGATGGAACTGGGATCAGAACGAACTGGTTTGTTGTAGCTGGGCCCAGGCTTGCTTCAGTAGATCATAGCATGCTGGGATTGATGCCTCTTCAGTCCTCCTTCTGCACCAAGATCTCTGTTGTACACCTGTTGTGATCACTAGTGTTCACGCACTAGTAAAGATGTCAGATGTAACAGAACTTTATACATAATTTTTAATGTATTTTTTTTCTGATTTAAGCAGCTATGTGAGATGCCAGACTTGGAGAGAGTGTTTCTGAAAATGTGGTTGTAATAAACTCTATAGAACTGTGCAATGGGAAAAATTATTTTGACTTCTGTTTGAAATGTCAAAACTGCATTCATGCAAATCTAAATAAAAATTAAAAACTTTAGAAAACTGAGTATCAACTGAAATGCTTAAAATGTATGTGAGGGGAAACAGAGCTTACTATATTTTTTCATTATGTTTTATGAAAATAGATAAAAGCATTCTTAGTCTAGTGCTTAATGGACTAGAGTTGAGTCATGAGTCAATATCCATGACTTACTTTGTCTCCTTCTAAGTCTATGCATAGTTTTGGTAAGATGCTTCACGCTATTGTCACCCTCATGTGGCAAGATGCCAGACTGTGACATAAGAAAAGATAGGATTTTTTTTAAGACAATTAAAAAAAAGTCCAAGCCTTATACATGGAATAGGCATGGAAGCATTTAGCAACTGTAGACAGCACAATACATCAAGAAAATATAGAAGTTAACTGTGAGCCAGCTATAGTTCTGTGCTGCTAGTCTGCTATCATTGTGCAGCTCTCGTATCAGGAGAGTTTGGTTGCTTCTGCTTTAAAACAATAGGCTACACATGTTCAAATGTCATGTGCAGTCAAATCTAAGTCAGCAGCTGAGTTTGTAGCACTGTAAAAATCTATCCTTAGCCAACTGTAAATTGTTAATGCAATTTCCCTTCTTTTAGCCTGCAATACCCTCATGTATAATGCAGTACTGCATGTCAGGATGTGCACTAGACTAATTTTGTTTAAAACAGATGCACACCCAGATGCCTCAAACCTCTGTTTCAAAGGGGTTTTTTGCTTGCTTTTCTTCATTCTTACTGAAAGAAATGAACAGTAAGATGGAGAAAGAATGTGAACACACAGGCAAGAACCCTTTGCTTCTGTCAATTAATATCACCTGGATGTGTAAGCTAGAGAGGGACATCTCATATTCTGACATCCTCTCATTCTGGCACTGATTGTGAAAGATCTTGTGACAATCTTGGGATGGATGGATCTAAGGAAGCAAGGAAGGAAGGAAGGAAGGAAGGATTGTAAATATGAAGTGGGTATAAATTTTAGTGGAAATCTGACTGGAAAATTCTAGGTTTTTAATGGCCATCTGTTGTGAAGCTGCTGCTGCTTCCAAGAGGGAGACCACTTAATTGATGACCAAAATATTATTGTATGTCAAAATCTGTAAAGCCACTTTTGGGTTTCTGTAGTGACAGACTCCATAAAAGATGGCTGATAACGCCCAGTCTGTTAATACTGTAGTGAAGAATGGGCTGGAGGCAGCCTCAGTTATTAAGGTTCCATGTCACTTTCAAGTAAAGGATCTATTTTTCTGGTGCTTCAACTTTTTAATCCTGGGCTGCAATTTTTTTTTATAATTTGTTTGTCTGTGGTTAACATCTTTGTCATTTCTGCCAAAGCATAGTGGCTGCAGAAACCAGGCAATGGAAAATGCCTCCCACCCTACCCCCTTTTAAATTATGGCTACCTTAAAATTTACTTAAGACTTGATAGCAAAGCTGCTTTATTTTAAAGGTAAGCCTTTACAACAGTATGGAAATCTGCATTATTACTGTATTATCTGCCTTTGGAAAATAACTACCTTTCATGTAGATTTGAGAAAATTGTTAGAGCTTCACAGCAAGCTTCCCCAGAGAGTCTGTCCACACAGGCAGTTGTCCATTTGGGCAGCATGACTTCCAGTGTGATTGCTGAATCTGGTTGTAGGCAACTTCTCTTACAGTGTTAAAGATCTCTTGTAGGCCCAGGAGGTGCATAGGAAGAGCTTGCTTGATTTGAATACAAGAAGGGACAAAGCTGGACAGGAATGCTGGGAGAGAGAGTACATTTCGGATAAGGGAAGTGCAGGAGGGATTTGCTTGATTCTGGGGTTGGCAGAGGAAGAAGGAAGAGAGAAACCAAAAGGGAAACAAAATTGGAACAGAGAATAGAATTTGTTGAATAGAGATTGGAATATGGTGGTAGAGTCAGGGAGCAGGCTGTGGGTACTGGAAGTGGGAAAAAGAAAGCATAGGAGAGGGGTTGTAAAGAGATATGATGAATGTTGAGTGAAAATAGTGCATAGTGCCTATGCAAGGAGGAATAAAGAATGGAAACTAGGTGAGGAGAATGGATCTTGGCAAAGGGAAAGAAAGAATTTGGGAAGAAAATGATTTGGTGTTCCTCAGGGGGACCAAACAGACTACCCTGTGTCACAAGCCATGATCTTCTTCACAGCCTGAAAGACAATCTGAGGGTTCCTCTATCTCCTGCCTGCTCAGCAGATATGGCAGCAAACTAATACTAATATATTACACCCTGTTCAGGATGAGTCTGTATTACTTAAAACCCAGGTTGGAACATTTCCAGTGCTGCTCCTGACCCATGTATATGTTTGTGTAATACCACCTGACAGAGTTTGTTTTCCAATATGTGCTGTTTGTTTGTTTTACCTAGGAAAGTATACCTTAAAGATTTGTGTTTTAAAAAACTTTATTAGGGTTGCAATTCAGAAAATAGGAAATGCAAGAGTTAAGGTTGCCTGTGAAACCTTAATTTGTCCTTTCTGCGTATGTATTATGTTGCAGTCTTTAATTATGTGATCACATGCTGTTTTCAGTGGTATGTGATCATATAATTAAAGAGTTTATTATAATACATACTGTATTGAAATAATATAAGGAAGCCAAATTAAAATCTCATTGGAAATCCTAATCCTGGCATTTTTTGACTTCTGAGTAAAGGTCTTTGTCGCTTTAATACTCTTTAATGAGGCAGGCAGAGAGGCCTGGGATTCAGAAGTTTTTGGGGTGTCTGATTATTATGTGTTATAGCTTAGGATCTAAATACGTGTTTAGGACTGAAAATTTAGGCATCCAAGTTGGAAGATTTGCTCACTTACTATAAGGACGATTTCTAAAGTAAGAGAGTGTGCTTTATATAAAAATGGTGGCCTTGTGGTTAAGACACAGAAGTATTAATCATAAAATTGGCAAAGTGAGAAAGCAAGTCTTTAGACTTCCTGTGTTAACAGCGAGTAAGTCACTTACACTGTCCTCATGACAAAACCTTTTCTGCTGTTACACAGGTCCTTAGGCTACAGTTTAAAGTTAGGTTAACTAACATATTCTGCCACGTGTTATGTTTAGGTCTACCTCTGCCAGATAGCATATTAAAAATATACAGTGCCTTGTCTACGCTACAGTTGTATAATGTGTCAGTTTGAACAAGTTAGGTAGCACATTCAGAAGCACGTTTAACTCCCTGTCTGGACATGCCCTTCATTACTTCATACCCCAGTTTCTTCATGTACAGAATCCAGATAACAACACTGAAAAAATTCTAGAACTAAATCAGTTCTTGTAAAACTTATTAAAATCGTGGAAGAAGCATTATCATAAACATTGGGGAGTTTGAATTAACCACCACGGTGTTTCAGGTGATTGTTTATGAATCTAAAACACTAGAGATTGAGACTTTCTTTTTCTTTTTTTTTTTTTTTTCAGTAAAGACTTTATTTAATCCAGCTCCAGCCCTTGCTGACCTAGATCCACAATTTTATACCCATTCTGATATCTTCTGCTGCAATGAAACTGAGGTAATGGTCATCTGTCATAGTAAAGAAGGAGTCTTAAGCAGTAAAATTTCAGAGGGATTTTGTTCTCAGAAATGCAGCATAGGGAGCAAGAAAACTGAGACATACTCCTCTTACATGGGACTTTTGGAGGTGACAACTTTGATCCCTGACCTAATGAGCAAAAGAGTATTCTAGAATACCTATAGATGGCACTCAAAATTTAATTAATTTTTTAGCAGGAAAGTCATGTCCAGCCTTCCTTACAAATAGATGAGTAAAACAAATCCCTGAAGGGACACTTTTAAAATGTTATCACTGAGTGGTAAATATTAAAATAGATAGTTGTCCTTGTTCTGTGGTCCCTTGATATGATTAGCAGGCATGTGCTAGCCATAGTTTTCTGACAGTTTTAAACTCGCTTGCCAGGAGGTGATGCACACATGCTGCACTTGATAGTAAATACTAGCTTCATATGCCTCTTCCTGACAGATCTGTTTTCAATTAATCTGTTTCTCTGGCCCTTCAACTGTACGTTTGCCTTTTAATTTTTTTCTTCTTTCCCTCTCTTTTCTAATTCAAGTGTGTTATTTCTCCCAAAGGAAATTATTTTTGTCACAAGGGACAAATTAAGCTTGTCTCATAAGGCCTTCATTTAAATTTCCTATTTATTAGTGTTATGCATGCTGTGTTCTTTCCCATCACCCTCTCTTTATATAAACAAGAATGTGGGAGAAGCAACCTAGCGTATGGAAGCCATGCCTTGATCATAGTTAAAGTTCTCTCCAACAAAGATGATTTCTGCAAGGAACATGATACCTTTGGGTGAAGAGGAGTGGGGAGAGCTAAGTGAAAAGCATGGCCCTGCTTACTTATAGGATTTTTTTGTCTGATGACAATGTATTTCAGAGTAATTTCTTCAAAACTCAATTACCCTCTTTTGAAATTTTTATTAAAAACCATCACAAGCCATATTAGAAGTTCTCAATTCACAAGTCTTCTAGAATTTAAGGGTCAGTCTGAGTAACCCAAACAGACATCTGAATTTTATTCTGGGATGTTTCAGTATGTGTCTCCCAAGTTCAGATACTTCAGGGAGGGGTCTCACAAGAACAGAATAGAGGGGGAGAATCACCTCCTTC